GATTGCCAACAAAGCCTGTGCCACCTTCTTTTCACATGAGGGAGCCTCACACTTTCTCCTAGAGCCTTGCAATTTCCTTTGGGATGGTACAGGGCCACCTCTTGCATCTAGCCAGTAAATCAATAAAGGAATGAGTAGATAATAAAATACAGAAGTGAAAGCTTAATGATTCAAATGTTTGAGCACTTATCTAAGTACAGATATTTAAAACCAAAGCTTTGCATATTAAAAATGGCAAGGTCCTGTAACATCTTCCCCAAAGGATGAGAAATTGACATGTGCAGGCATTTGGAACCAACCTCCCAAACCTGTGTTGTTGTGGAAAAGTTTCAAAATAATAGCAATAAACATTTAAAAACTGAATCTGTTTTATAATAACAAACTGTTTTGAAGATAGAGAAGATTAAACTTTGAGAACAGAGAAAGGAAGATATAGGAAGAAATGTCCTAAATTTCTTAAAATGTTGTTGATATAAAACTCTACTGTGCACAAATCTGATCCCTGGCAAGTCCTCAGTAATGGAAAGTATTGATTTTAATATGGATGAAGGACCTAATATTAATGAAGACCATTTATGGTAATTTATTTTGTAAAGGGGGAAGGGATAATAAATGACTAATTTATCAATTTCTTACCTATAAGGTAACATCTTATAGTTTACCTTAAATGAGGGGCTTTTCTCTTAACATTTTATTATGAAAAATTTTAAACAGGAAAAGTTGAAGGAATGTTACCGTGAACACCTGTACACCCCACCTCTTGACCATGGGCACTGTCCTATGTACTGTTTTATTATATCTACTCCGTGCCTTTGATCAGTCCATCAACAGCATTTCATCTTGTTTATGATGCATTCCATATTACAATTTTTGCATCAGTACCTGTCTGCATGGGCGTTCTTCTAAAACTTCATTGAACGCATATTCAAATTAATTTTGAAAACACTTTGTGTTCCTGATTTCACCCAAGACCTTAACAAGAGCATTCTCACCTATCTGGAAACTGGCGAAAGACTCTTTTTGCTAAAGACGGAAGAGCCGCCTTGAGCCACCTAAGAACTGCTTGGTGCCAGCGCTGCGTGGGTGATGAAGGCAATTCGGAAGCTCGATTTTCGGACAGTGGGGATGTGGTCGAAGAAAGGCAGTGATTGTCTTAACAGGGCAGCTTCGTGTTCGATACGGTTTTGTGTAGGAAGGGATTAGCAACTTTCACAGCTATTTAAGAAGAAAATGGGAAAGAATCCAGATTAGGGAAAGGGGAGGGGGGTTGGTAATAGAGCCGGTGAGAGGAAAGAGTGTCCAGCTAGGAATAGGGGAGTGTGTGGTCAATTCACGGTGTCTAACAGTCCTAAGAGCAGGCGGGGAGGCTACAAGTGGGAGTGAAATTCACCGTGCTCCACCGCACCCCATCTTCCCCCAAGGGTAAGTGTAGCGGGCCCAGGAAGAGTCTGGGGCTGAAGCGTCCCTCTCACACACGTGAGTGCGCGTGAACACGCACAGACACACGCACACCTCGCTCCTCATGGAGGTGATCTGTGGATCTGGCGGTGGGGTACGTGGGGCTTGGGGAGGCTCGGAGGCCAGGAGGCGGCTGGGGCTCTGCTGGGCGGCCCGAGCCCGCGAAGGCCGGGCTC